CTCCCCCTCCCCCGGCCAGTCCTCCCTGCCTGTGCTGCCCAGGAGGAGCTGCTCCTTGAGCACCAGCAGGTCGGTCTTCACCAAGACTTCCTCTACTGGGGTTGGCTGGGGCTCTTCAAAGGTGCTGCTGCTGTGCAGGAAGGGGTTGGAGGACCAGCTCAGCTCAGCCTGCCAGGGACACGTGGCAGTGGTAATGAGTGGTGGGATTGATAGCCCGTCAGCTCCCAGCCCCGGGTGCATCCCTCCATCCCATCAGCTGGAGAAAATCATCAAATCCTAGACTGCTTTTTTGGGTTGGAGGGACCTTAATGACCATCAAGTTCCAACCCCCTGCATGGGCAGGGACACCTCCCAGCAGCCCAGGCTGCTCCAAGACCCATCCAACCTGCCCTTCAACACTGCCAGGGATGGGGCAGCCACAGCTTCTCTGGGCAACCTGGGCCAGGGTCTCCCCACCCTCACAGCACAGAGTTTCTCCCTCAGATCTCATCTCAATCTCCCTTTTCCAGCTTAAAACTACTACCCTGTGCCCTTATAAGAGAACCCCTCCCCAGCCTCCCTGTGGGCCCCTAAGGACCGGGAAGCTCAGCACTTGCTGCCTATCATTGCCCCCATCTCATAGTCCCAGCTGCCAGGGAGGGCTGGCTTTGCTGCCTGCAGGGATGCCTGCCCTGCAGGGCTCACCCCTTCCTTCAGAGGGTGGGATGGGAAGGCAGAGGAGCACCACTTACCTTCAGAGACAGGCAGCTCTTCACCCAGCTGGCGTTGGCAGGGTCTGGGATGGCCTGGCTGTGCCAGCGCGGCACCAGCGCGGCCAGGAGCGGGCGCAGGCTGGGGACAGAGCGAGGGCAGACAGGCCTGAAGGGCTGGCTCCAAGATGCACGACAGCTATGAACACCCCACAGCATCTCTACCATAAGGCTGTTTTTAAGCCCACGGGTGTTTTTACCCCTTGTCTACTCTGAAACCCTCGTTGGGAACCACCCTCGCTGCTCCCCCGCGCGTCCCGAAAGGACACGATCCCTCCTCACCACAGCTCCCTCTTCTACTGGGATGGGACTGGATGGACTGGATGGATCCACTCACACTTTTCTCACCGGAGGCACGGAACAAAGGCAGGCTGAGAGGATGAAGAAGCTGCAGGGGAGCACAACAGCCACCCAGTCCACGGCAGCACCTGAAATGGGGAACAACCAGCATTCAGTTCTATTTAAAAATAATACATGAAAAATGGACATTGAAAAGCTGCTGGTTTAACCTGGGCCAGAGTTGTGACCTGTCTGGTGTTGGCACTCAGGAACCACCCCAAGATCTTCACTTTTTCTTTGTTTAAAATCAGGAACCTGGCTGGACTGCTGGGGATGACAGGGCTTTGTAGCACCAAGGGGTTTGCCTGTTTCTCTGGAGAGGTCTCAGGCTGAACCAGACCCCCACCCAGGACATAACCTTGGGGGGCTCGGGTGGTAGGGGTGGGAAGTACCAAAGACCTCACCAAATTCAGTGCCTTCAAGAGGTTCAGCCCTGCTCCCATGCTCTGGAGGTGAATTCCCTAATGCAGGCAACTCTGGGCCTTCAAGCTGTTAAAGCTGGGGAGGAAATGCAGCAACCCAGACCTCCTGGCAATACTTAGGGACACATCTGATCAACCCCTTCTGGGGGTTTAGTGACTGTTTGATCTGGTCTTAGGACAAATTTTGCAGGACAGAAACCCTGCTTGCTGCCATTATCTGCTGTCAAGAAGTCTTTAGGAGAAGGTCTTTTTGATGCCCTGGGAGGTGCAGGAACAGGGACCACGTGATGGACGTGCTCCTCAAGAAGACTCTGAGATGATGGTCACTTTAGTGACCGTGGGTCCTCAGAGACCTCTGGGACCACAGACCATGGGTCCCTGATCTCATGAGATCAGCAGGACTTTCTGCATGGGTACCAGAGCTTGAACCACACGGGGCCAGCAACTTGAAGGAACCAAGCCTTTCCTTCCTTCCTTCTCCACAAGGAACCATCCTGCTTGTCTTCAACTGCTATGAGACCATGCAGCTGATGGCTTGGCACAGAACTGGGAGCTTGGAGACCAAGAGATGCTACAGCTTAAAAACAGCTGAAACTAGAGAAAACTTCAGTCATCGAGCTGGAGACCTTCAGGAACTGAAGACCAACTGGAGGTCTTCCATAACTGAAGATCAACTAGAGCTCTTCAGCAGTTAAAGAGGAGCAGGAAAAGCATTCCCAGGACCTCTCCTGGCCCCCACCCTGGCAGAGATCATTACTTTCCAGGCAGATGGTCTCACTGTTGCCTGAAGGCCCCTCTCCAGCACTTGTTGAAGCTGTCATCCAGAGGGTGTAGAGCTGCCCGGGCTGCAGGTGGGTGATGTACAGGGAGTGCTGGGCTGGAGCACCAGGAACAGCTGGAGGGAAAAGGGGGAGAAGGGAATGAAGAACCTGGCAAGTTTGGTTTTTTTACTTCAATGAATTTCTTTTTCTGTGTTGCTGAGTCACTGGGAGGGCTGTAAAAGATCTTAGAAGATCTTAGGATACATATATATATAATATCTATAATATATACTATGTATATTATATACATTTAATATATAGATATAATTTTTAATATGTTTCATTGTCTGGATGGGACACCCAGGATTGCACAACTTGTCCTCTGGCTGCTCTTGCCAGTTAAGTTAATGATTTAATCTAAGGTGAGGGTTGTGTGGTGGAGCTGTGAGGCTCCCCTTCAAAACTGTCGTGTGACTTCTGCACCAAGTTAAGGGAAAAAGCCTTTTTGGGAGGGAATTCTGGGCAGATGGAGTGGGAACGGGCTGTGGTGGGCAGAGCAGCTGGGGTGTGGTGGGTGCTGCCTGCTGAGCTCCTGGTGTGCAGGGTGTGTGTTTGCTGGGCAGGGCTTTCAGGCAGGCTGGTGGTTCACCCTGCCAGTGACTCCCAGGGTTGGCTTTAGCTGTGACTTCACAACAGCTGGAGGGAAAAGGGGGAGAAGGGAATGAAGAACCTGGCAAGTTTGGTTTTTTTACTTCAATGAATTTCTTTTTCTGTGTTGCTGAGTCACTGGGAGGGCTGTAAAAGATCTTAGAAGATCTTAGGATACATATATATATAATATCTATATTATATACTATGTATATTATATACATTTAATATATAGATATAATTTTTAATATGTTTCATTGTCTGGATGGGACACCCAGGATTGCACAACTTGTCCTCTGGCTGCTCTTGCCAGTTAAGTTAATGATTTAATCTAAGGTGAGGGTTGTGTGGTGGAGCTGTGAGGCTCCCCTTCAAAACTGTCGTGTGACTTCTGCACCAAGTTAAGGGAAAAAGCCTTTTTGGGAGGGAATTCTGGGCAGATGGAGTGGGAACAGGCTGAGGTGGGCAGAGCAGCTGGGGTGTGGTGGGTGCTGCCTGCTGAGCTCCTGGTGTGCAGGGTGTGTGTTTGCTGGGCAGGGCTTTCAGGCAGGCTGGTGGTTCCCCCTGCCAGTGACTCCCAGGTTTGGCTTTAGCTGTGACTTCACAAAATAATAAGTATTATTTAAAAAAACCCACAACAACAACCAACCCAAACCAACTGGGAGAAATGGGGTGGGTACAGACTCAAAATAATTTTACTCCAAGTGGAAGCCCTGGAGGTGATGGGCATCCGGCTGAAGGGCAGCTGGGGAGAGGGAGGGACCTGACCTGGTGCTGCTGCTCAGAGCCCCCCAGGGACATCCCTCCATCTCCCACCCCCCATCCTCCACCTGCAGCATGCCCAGTGTTGGACTCCACCAGATCCCCACCGTAGCTGGTCAGGGCTTCCTCCTGGCCCTGTTTCTGCAGGTAGATGTGGTAGCCTGTGATGCAGCCCCTCTGCTGGTGGGCAGGGATCTCTTCCCAGGACACCAGGATGCCGTTGGCCCGAGGTGTGATGTGCATCTGGGGCCCAGCTGATGGGGCTGCAAAACACGAGACTGACTGTTCCAGCTGAGCTTAAGCTGGCTTGGAGATCCTGGGAGGAGAATTGGAATCATGGAATGATTTGAATCATGGCATCATTTTGGTTGGAGATTCCTCCAGGGATGGGGACTGCCCCCCTGCCCTGGGCAGCCTGGGCCAGGGCCTGACAACCCTTTCCAGGAAGGAATTGTCCCCAAGATCCATGCAATCCCCTGGCACAACTGGAGCCCATTTCCTCTTGTCCCATCCCTTGTTCCTGGGGAGCAGAGCCCGACCCCCCTGGCTCCAACCTCCTCTCAGCAGCTGCAGAGCCAGCAGGTCTCCCCTCACCTCCTTGTCTCCAGGCTGGACACCCCCAGCTCCCTCAGCTGCTCCTCTAGGACTTGTGCTCCAGCCCCTTCCCCAGCCCCACTGCCCTTCTCTGGACACGCTCCAGCCCCTCCATGTCCTTCTTGTCCTGAGGGGCCCAGAAGTGACCCCAGGACTGGAGGTGCAGCCTCAGCAGTGCCCAGCACAGGGAGACAATCCCTGTGTTTTACCTTTTGCTCTGGTGTTTCCTCTGGCTGACACGGCTTGTCCAGCCCTGTCCCAGTAGAGCGCAAACACCCGGACCTGGTAGCACAGGTTGTCCTTCAGGTGCTCTGGAGAAAGACATTCAAACAGGTTGTTCCTAGGGGAGGTATTTACAGCTACTGCTGCAGCTTTTGCATCAGCTGCTGAAGCCTGAGCTGAATCCTCTGCTCATGAGTGCACCTCTCATCAGGAAGGAAACAGGCTGGCAGAGCTGCCTGGTGCAGGGAGCCAGTGGGGAGGTAAAGACCTCGGAGATGTGGCACCAGGACAGGGGTGGGAAGGGACCAAAAGGGGAGACTTCCTAGCTCTGGGGTGTGGGCAGCAACAACACGTGGTGCTGGCTGGGGCTGGGGACCAGCAAGCAGCAGAAAAGGCTTCTCTTCAGCCTGTGATCTCCTGTGCATCTCGTTTGTGCCTGTTCCCTTTTGGAGGGACTGGGGTGCTGGGTTTTTCCAGAGCCTCTTTGCTTACCAGCTACAGATCTCAGCTGAGAGCGACAGCAGAGCTGAGCCCAGAGCACCACGGGCTGCTTTGAGCAGCCTGGTCTAGTGGGAGATGTCCCTGCTCGTGGCAGGGAGGTGGGACTAGGTGGGGTTTAAGGTCCCTTCCAGCCCAAACCAGCGTGGCATTCAGTGGTTCTACACAGAGGGACAAATGCCACCATCTCTTGTGCTGGACCGACAATCCGAATGGTTCCTCAAGAAGCTTCCAGAGCCAGGTGGCACCTGAGTGGTGTCCCACCTGGGGGAGGTGTTACCTGCTATCAGGGTGGACAGGTTGGCTGCTGGCACCTTCACCCAGGCTGGCGGGCACAGGTCCTCTGCCTCGTGGGCCCACTCCACCACGTACCCACCCACGGGCGCCGGCGGGTGGGCGGGTGGTCCCCAGCTGACCAGGATGTTTCTTCTTCCCACGGCGACCACCGAGACCTTCTGAGGAGGGGGCAGCTCTTGCCAGGGGGAAAAGGCAACCAGAGAGACACCGTCAGCACAAACGTGAGCCAGCTCAGGGGGTAAGTCTGATCTGTGGACTCTCCCGTGTCCCGTCCAGCCTGGTGCCCACCCAGCTTGTCCAGTGTCAAGCTGTGGTTGGAAGCAAAGGCCTTGGTAGGGGCTGATCTGGCAGGAGGAAAGCCATGTTCTCCTCCTGTCTCATGGTGGAGCAGTTGGAGCATGTACAGCACTTCTTGTGCCATCCCCAAGCCCTCAGAAGACACTGTCACTAACCCCCTGATCTCATGATAGAGCCACTAACACGTCAGCTCCACGAGACCAAAGCTCCTGCTTTCCCAGACAGGCCCAGGCTACTTTTCCTGCAGGACAAATCATTGGGAAAGTAATTGTTGGTTTGTTTTGTTGTTGTTTTTTTTAAATCTATAACACAAACCCAGCATCTCTTCTGAACAGTTTTTCTAACTACAACATTGGACTGAGCACACCAAGCTGCTCATGTCCTGCTGCCTTCAAATAATCAGAATGGGAATCAGCCTCAAGTTGCCCAGGGGAAGTTCAGGTTGGATCTTGGGAAGGGCTGTCAGGCCCTGGCCCAGGCTGCCCAGGGCAGGAGGGGAGTCCCCATCCCTGGATGGATCTCCAAGCCCTGTAGATGTGGTGCTGAGGGACACGGGGCAGGGGTGGCCTTGGCAGGGCTGGGGGAAGGGTTGGACTGGATGACCTTAAAGATACTTTCCCACCAAAAGGATTCCATTATTGTCTATGTCTCCACTAATCCTCTCTGGTTAGCTGAGGGCTCAGGCACCCAGTGCACCCTGGAGGCTCCCCCAGGGCAGGGAAAGGTCCTTGATGCAGCAGCTGGGAGGAGGTGACACCCTGGGCAGGGCCTTTGTCACCGTGACTGAGGTTGCAGCAGGACGAGAGCAAACGAGAGCCCCTGCAGAGCAAACAGGAGCCCTGTCTCCTTGGGAAACTCGGGGCTGGTGAGTGGAGGGAAGGCTGGTTAAATCTGCTGAGTGAAGTTTCACAGGAGATAAAACCCCGTGTGACTTCCCCTCCCCAGCACCTTCCCCCCCCTTCTCAGGCAAGAACAAAAAACCTCTTTCTCTTTGCACGGTTGGTTTTCTGCTGTGTCAGGTGCCTGGTGGCTGCTGGTGGGGCTGACACCCGTGGCTGCTGGTGGGAAGGGCTGGAGGTGAAGCCCCATCAGCACTAAGGTGGGACCAGCACTTGGAACTGCTCCCCCAACACCCCGCAAGAGCTGCACCTGCAGATCCCTGCTCACCCCGTGGGATGGACGTGGATAAGCAGGAGGTGGTGGGACCTGGAGGCCTGTGGTGTGTGTAGCCCCCAGCACAGCACTGCTGGTTGCCCCCAGTGCTGCAGACCCAGCAGAAGTCCTTACCCTGGGCGCCCAGGTTGGTGGTGATGGACGTGGGGGGTGACCTGCCCCTCGAGTTCTCAGCTGTGACTGTTATCTTGTAGTCCACCCTGGGCAGGAGCCTGGTGTAGCTGGTCTGGGTGGTGAGGTGGGTTTCTGCTGGGACAGGGCTCTGCTGGGACAGGGCTTTGAAGGTCACCCTGTACCCCAGGATCTGTCCTCTCGCCTCGGACTCGCTCAGAGCCTGTGAGGGAAGTCACAAGTTACTCCTGGTTTGGTTGGGGTTTTTTTTTTCCCCCTCCTCCTGAGCAAAGCCTGTGGAAAGGTGACCCCAAACCAGGGGGTCCCATCAGGCTGGCAGGAAGGGTTCAGAGCTGCTGCTGGAGGGAAGGGTGGTTGGCCATTTCTGGACCAAGTGTTTCAGATAACCCTACTGGCAGGAGGAGCAGCTCTTCCTGCAGCCCCAAGAGCTCCTGAAGGATGCTTGAGCAAGCCCACATGTTCCTGGGGGCCTCGGGTCCCTGTGGCCCCTGAAAAGCTGTGTCCCCTTCCCAGGCAGAGCTGGGGTCTCTGGTGTCAGCAGGGGCTGGCTCAGAGCTCCCCTCACCCACCAGCTCCTGCTGCCCCATCCAGGGAGGAGAAGCTCAAGGTGAGGCAGTGATGGCAGCCCAGAAACCACCCGTGTCCTGGGCTGCATGCCCAGCAGGGTGAGGGGGGATTGTCCCCCTCTGCTCCACCTCAGTGAGACCCCCCTGCAGGGCTGGGAACAGCTCTGGGGTGCCCAAGACAGGAAGGACACGGAGCTGTTGGAGCAAGTCCAGAGGAGGCCACAGAGATGCTGGGAGGGCTGGAGCAGCTCTGGAGCCAGGCTGGGAGAGTTGGGGTGTTCAGCCTGGAGAAGAGAAGGCTCCAGGGAGACCTGAGAGCAGCTTCCAGTGCCTGAAGGGGCTCCAGGAAAGCTGGGGAGGGGCTTGGGACAAGGGCAGGGAGGGATGGGA